TTTGATTTACATCCTCTTGATCTCCCTTTGTTGTCTTATTACTCTAGCTAGGACCTCAAGACTGATTATTCTCTGGATTTCCTCTGTTTCTGTTGTTATGTCCCCCTTTTCATTTCTGATTTTGTTAATTTGGATTTTTTCCCCTGCTTTTTGGTTAGTTTGGATAAAGGTTTGTCTATTTTGTTGATTTTCTTGAAGAACCCACTCTTCCCATTGATTCTTTGTATTGTTTTCTTTGTTTCTATTTTGGTGATTTTCGCTCTCAATTTTATTATTTTCTGCTGTCTAGTTCTCCTGGGCTAGTTTGCTTCTTTATGTTCTCAAGTTTTTAAATGTTCTGTTAATTCACTAGTGTGGAATTTTTCTAGCTTCTTTATCTAGGCATTTAGTGCTATGAACTTTCCTCTTAACACTGCTTTCATTGTGTCTCATATATTTGGATATGTTGTGTGGTCATTTTCATTGAATTTTAGCAAGTCTTTAATTTCACCCTTTATTTCATCCTTGACCCATTGATGATTCAGGTGAGCATTGTTTAATTTCTATGTGTTTGTAGGCTTTCTGGATTTAATGTTGTTGTTGAATCCTAGTTTTAAGCCATGGTGATCTGATAAGATACATGGGGTTATTCCAATTTTTTTGTATCTATTGAGGTTTGTTTTGTTATCTAGTATGTGGTCAATTTTTGAGAAGGTTCCATGAGGTTTTGAAAAGAATTTAAAACCATCCTTAAGGCCAGATCCCAGGCCCAGCAGCAGATGGCCAACACAAAATAAATTTAATGGTAGTTTTAGAAGGTTTTTTTTTGTGTGTGTCATAATACTTCTCTTGAGCATTTTGTATTTTTCACTTTTAATTTGTCATTTGTTTATATATTATGATTTCCTATTGTGGTGTTTTTATGGGATTCCTGTGTGTTCCAGTGTGTATATCCACGCTCTATATATGTTTTTTGTACTCTTTTCTTTGGCTCTTTGTTTTTCTGCTTGTTTGTTTATATTGTCCTGTACAGGATTATTTGGTTTTATCTATTATTATTATTATTATTATTATTATTAGTTTATTATTAATATTGTTACTTGTTTGTTTTCTGATAAGAGAAAGCAAGAAAGGATTTGAATTTGGGTGGGTGGGTGGGTAGGAGGAAGAGAATCTGGGAAGAGTTAAGGGAGGGGCAACCATAATCAGAATATTTTATATGAAAAAAATCTATTTTCAGTAAAAAATAAAATTAAATGAAAGTTAAATAAAATTTAATAAAGAAGGCTGATGTTGTAGGAGGAGAGGTAAGTAGATGCTGTGGAGTTGACAGAAGATGAGAGGGTGCTGGCGATCGGGCGCAGAGTGCTGTCGGGAAGACTAAGTCTTTGTGTGGTCATAGTGGGGTGACTGTGGTCAGCAGTGCTGTAGCTGTATTAAATGCTACACAATAGCTGGATGAGATGAGTTTGGATGCCCCATCATAGAGAAAATGTATGAAGTGATAAATATACTAATTTAGCTGACGTGCTTGTTATAGAATGCATGCAAATATTAAAATATCTCACTGTATTCTATATATCTCCAGTTATTATGTTGATTAAAACAAAATAAAAATAATAAAGCAAAATAAGAATAATTTTTATTTTCTCTTGCTTTCTGTTGCTGTGATTAAAAAAAAAATGTGATCAAAAGCACCTTGAGTAGGAAAGGGCCTATCTGGCTCACACTTCCATGTCATAGTCTATGGAAGGAAGTCAGGGCAGGAATCTAAGCAGGAACCTGGAGGCAGGAGCTGAAGCAGAGCGAGACCACAGAGGATCACCGGTTACTGGCTTGTTCCCTGTGGCTTGCTCGGCCTTCTTCCTTATGGTATGGTACCACCCAGAACCACCTGCCCTGCTATGGTACCACCCAGAACCACCTGCCCTGCTATGGTACCACCCAGAACCACCTGCCTGCTATGGTACCACCCAGAACCACCTGCCTGCTATGGTACCACCCTCTCACTTTAATCATTAATTAAGAAAATGCTCCACAAGTTTGCCTACGAGCCATTCTGATGGAGTCATTTTCTTAGTTGGGGTTTCTTCTCCCTACATGATTTTATGTCTTGTGTTAAGTTGATAAAAACCTAGCTAGCACAATTCTTCAATTTCACTTAAAAAATAGGTCTTGGGGGTCCCACATGGGATGGTGGAAACCCAGTGACTTCTATGGAAATTCAAGGGGCTTTGATAACTTGAGTCTGTAGGTTGGGGGCTCTGGGTGCCGCGACAGTTACAAAGCACCACGTCAGAGTCCTCACAGAGCTATCTGCTGGCAGTATTGTCCTCACTCTGGAGCATAGTGAAGAGGCCAACCTCAGGCCTTTTTGCATCTTTCTCAGGGGCCTAAGCCCTAACTTGTATCATGTCTATGCTTCAGGGTCAGGCTGCCAAATGGACAGACCAAAGTCCTGGCTAGACTAGAACACAGGCGACTGCAGGCATACCTGTTGGTCTGCTTTGCCTATCTCTGAAATGGCCTGTAGGATCCTCCTCTGGGCACCACAGTGTTCTTCTTTGCATCATTATGAACCTGGCTCTCTGGACTACCATGTGGCAGCTTCTTGGACCCAAGAAGGCCATTGCATAGGAATCGTGTCTTTCAGGGTCTTGTTTTATTGATGAGCAAGGTGAAGAGTGGAAAGGAGAAATGCTTTGCCTGGGAGTTTAAGGATCTCTTAGAATTTCCAGTAGGGTCTACTCTTGGGCATTTCCCTGTGGTAGTCCTGGGATTACTCCTGCTACAGTGAAGCTGAGACGAGACTTACTGGTAAGTCTGTTTTCCCACCAGTATAGAAAGCTGAGGGCCTCTATACCAGCACCCTTGACACTTGCTCATGTAGAACTGTTTGTGTGACAGCCAGGAGGAGGCATTTCCAGAGAAGCACCAGGAAATAAAATCTTTTTGGTTAGCACTACACAGTGACTGGAGTCTTAGTGACTCCAGGGCATGGGGAGAGTGGCCTTGTGAGACTACAGGAGGTACTCAGCTTCCTCTGGAGAATCTGCCCCTGGGATCAGGAATGCAAGGATAAAGCATCCTAGGGTTTCTCTTGATGTGATGAAACATCATGACCAGAAAGCAAGTTAGGGAGGAAAGGGTTTATTCGACTTATACTTCATCATTGCTGTTCATCATAGAAGGGAAACAAGATAGGAACTCATACAGGGCAGAATCCTGGAGGCAAGAGTTGATGCAAAGGCCTTGGAGGGGAGCTACTTATTGGCTTGCTTTTCTTGGCTTGCTCAACCTGCTTTCTTACAGAACCCAGGATCACCAGCCCAGGGATGCCACCACCCACCATGGGCTGGGCCCTCCCACATTGATCACTAATTGAGAAAATACCTTACAACTGGATCTCTTGGAGGCATTCCTCAACTGGGGCTCCCTCCTCTGATGACTGTAGCTTGTTGTAGTGATATTTCATTTGTATTTTAATAAATAGAGTTTGCCTGCAGGTCATAGAGTAAAACAGTCACACTGATCAGCCTTACAGACCAGGCAGTGGTGACACACACCTTCAATCCCAGTAGCCACACTAGTTTGCCATAGAAAGCAGGCAGTAGTGATGCATGCCTTTAATCCTAGCCCAGAGAGAGGAATATAAGACAGAAGGAGACAGCTCTCAGAGAGTCTCATTCTGAGATTCCTGGAGGCAGGATTGCCATTTCAGACTGAGGTAGAGGTAAGAGTCAGTGACTGGCTGTGTGTTTTGATTTTCTGACCTTAAGGCTGAACTTCAATATCTCTTTTTGGGTTTTTATTAATTGTGCTACAGCTTGTATGAAGTTGACATCCAAAACCAACCAGCACAAGGAGGTAATGGAAGCATTCTAGGGTAGCAAAATGACTTTCCTATGTGTTGACAATTTAGGTTACAAGTGACAGAAATGAAACATGAAGTGGCTTAGGAAGCAAAGTAAACTCTTGGGAAGTCCAGGAGACAGTGTCAGACACAGATGGACCTCAAGGCTTGAATAGCGTCAACATAGCAGTGTCCCCGGCTTATACCTGCTTGCTTCTGTATTGGTTCCATTCTTAGGCAGTGTCCCTTGGGGAAGTTGGATGGCTTGTGCAGAGCTGTTGCTTCATGTTTATTAGAGTCGTACTTAACAACAACAACGACAACAACAAAAACAAAGAAACAGCTCCTGGCCTCTCACAGTGGTAGGTCAGTGAGAGTGTGTCTTATTTCTGGGCTCCAGGATCCACTCTGGACTCCTACCCTCAGGTAGTTGATTCAGTTGACTTACCTTGTAGATAGATGTTCCTTCCTAATGCTGGGGAAAGTCTCAGTGAAGGATCTTGGCCATCTATTCATCTCTGAATCAGTTGGAACATGAGCTTCTGATTGGATTTGGGAGAGTCACCTCTTGGTACAAAGCAAGAGGAAGGGAGTTCTAGGAAGAAAATCAGATCCTGAAGCAAGACAAGGCCTGTGGTATTGGCTAGGGGTCATCACATGAGACGTTGACATTCGGAGGATTCGAGTGTTTGACCCAGAGTTAGAATGGCCCATCCCAAGGCTGGGTCAGGTCTCTTCAGGGTAGTCAGTAGTCTTATCTGTCTCTAGAGGGTCAAGAAACCTCTGATGTGAGGTACAGTGGGAGATGGGGAAACCCGAGGCAGGGCACCAGCCCATGTAGCCTGGAGGACAGAACAGCCAGAATTGAGACTATACGCGAGAAAAAAAAAAAGGATTACAAAGGGTGGTTTTTGTCATAGTACCTTTCAGATGGCAGAAAGGATTCCCAATGCTAGACGATAACCACTCTATACCCTAGGGCTAGATGCTGATGAGGATGTTGGGTCTAAGTTGCTGCCTTGCAGCCTGCTCTGAATGAATGAAGTAGACAGGAACCCCCGTTTCTGCTGGTGGCTGCCTGGGTTAGGAGCGTTGGGGTTAGTTGCCCTCCCGGCTAGATCCCTTCCCATTTAAAGATGGTTCTTCCTTCCTCTTCTCCCATGCTCAGATATCCGTGGGCTCCAAAGCTTTCTGGACCAGGCCTCACGGCTGGGCCTCGACGTCTCTTTACAAAAGGTGGACAAGAATATCAGTCACGTGTTCACCAGTCTCTTCACCACCATGAAGACAGAGGAGCTGAACCGCTACCGGGACACGCTGCGCCGTGCCATCTTACTGCTTAGCCCACAAGGGGCCCACTCCTTCATCAATGAGGTAGGTCACGGGAGCTGAGGCCGCTCATGCCTGGTGCCCAGGGCCGCTGAATGGGTCAGGTGTATAAGAGAAACAAACAGGGAACACATGTACCTGACTATACAGAGAGAAGCCTCAACACGATATGGCTACTGATGGGTCCCTAATAGGTGACCCATGTTCTTCTCTGACTCAGAAGAGGCTATGGGACAGGTGGGAAGCCTGCTTGTAAGTTACTGCCCTGATTTTCCAAGTTGAAACCCAGATGTTTTTCCTAGCAGTTTTCTTTTCTTCGTTTCATCCACCTGTAGGGATAAATTGAGTTTCTAGCTCTCTGGAGAAGTGGGCAGGTTTGCCGCGGGATTTGTTGACATTCGGTGGAGGCGTCTGTGGCGTACCAAGTGGTGCCTGGGGTGAGCGAGCGTCTTCTTTGGCGCTTGTGCTGATTGGTGTGTGCTCCTTTGAAAAACACCTCTATTAGGGATCTGGACTTCCACAGGAAGGCTAGGGAGGGCCTCCAATTTCACAAAGAATCCATTAATTTGAGATCAGACTAGAAAACTGAGCTAGAAGTGCTGGCTGGGACTGGTTCCAGGGGTCTCATGGCACAGAGGTGGTAAACAGAGAGTGGCTGTCACTCCCTGGGCCTGAGTTGGTTTGAGGGAAGAACTGGCTACCGGTGTGGTGCATCTGGGAACAAGTGAGGGCCCAATGGACCATAGGAGTATAGAACAGTGGATGCTCCCTGGGGTTTCCCTCCTGACCCAAGCCACCTTGCCAGCCTACTCTGATTTCAGGTAAAATGAAAGAGAAAGGCTGAATTATACTAATTTCATCTGATGTACTATGCTTCCTTATTCTGCTTTTCCCCTCTAATTAATTATCATTCAGAATGCTACCTCATGCACCAGGAACCAGCATGAAGTCCACTGCTGGAGAGCCTAACACTGAGAACGCTTAATTTGGTGTAAGTTGGCCAGCAGCCCCGGTGCTCTCAGCTAATCAGGCCCGGATCATGCTGGTGGTCAGCCAGGCTGTGCTGTCCTGTGGGTTCTCAGCGTCCTCAGCAGAGCTCTCTTCCCTGTATGCAGTGATTCAGCCTCAGATTAGCAGTGCTGACATGACCGGCCTTTCTCAGAATGCTCTCAGTGGTGTGTTTGCAGAAGGTGGCTCACAGGGTGACTTTTCTCTCTGTTTACTGCAGACTTGGATCCATCTGCCCTGGGGAGAGTCTCCACAGTTTTTGTCACCAGCTTCCCAGCTTCTCACTTTGTTCTAATTCCTTGGCCTTTCTGCTCATCTCCTTCCCCCTCTGCCATTGATCTCTGGGACGCTTGGGAGAGGAAAGAAAATGGGTCTTGCAGTTCCACAGATTCTGGTCCAGTCTCTGCTCCACTTCCTGTCTGTGTGATGTTGATCAATTTGTTTGATCTTTATAGACTCAGTTGCTGCAGCTGCTAAGATCACAGTGCTGAGAAACATTTGGCTGTGCATACACATGCATATTTTCCATCTACACGAATCTAGGCCTTTCTTGTTTCTCAGTCCCCGAAGGATTTACACACAACCACAACTGGCCTAAATGTGTTAGTTCCAAGTGAGTAATTATCCAGACTCCTGTGGTGCCGTGTGCACTGTGCTTGGCTTTAGCCGGCTGCCTTTTCTAATTCTCCAGACTGTGTTCACACTCTGGGTGTTTTGGGGCCTGGATACAATGGAGTGGCTCCTTCCCTTGTCAGGCAGCTCTGACTGGAGCGGTGTCAGGAGTCTGAGTGTGAAGACAGTCTCTGAATTTGGATTAGAGGACATACCACCTCTGCCTTTCTTTAAGTGCCTATAAAGTCCTAGTCTCTGGTTCCCAGCCAGGCCACCGGAAATAGAGGAAGCCATCCTTTCCTGGTGCCCACGTTGGTCTGGCCCTTGGTGCTCATTTCCCCCTCAGCACCTGTTTCAGTTGTGATTTTAACAGTTGTTAAGTGATTTGTATCAAGTCATTGTTACTAAGAGGCAGAATGGAATTCTAGTCTGGGCTTGGCCTGTTCCAGAGTCTTCTCTCCTCCACTGCTGGTGACTTCAGAGGACACAGTGTGTTACACTTTCTGTCAAAGATGCATGTGGTTGTTGCCAGCATCGGGGAGGAAGATATGCTTCGGGGGTTGTTCCAGGCCTCATTCTAAGAGTCTTAGTGTGTCTATCAGGCATAGATGGGAGAAGGATCTAGAGTCTGGAGAACACTTCTGTCCAGCTGTCTAGTCCTGCAAGTCTCCTAAAAGACGGGGAGCTCCATCTTTGTCATTGCCTGGGGACATTGCTTGAGCTCCTCAGGCAGACTGACCCACTTTCCTCTTTGTTAGGACAGGACAGATGATTCTCACGAGGGTGACCCCCTTTCTGAATCTTATGACTTTCAGAGCACTGTCTAGAGGAGTGAGAGGCCACTGCCGTGTGGATTGGAAGGCACAGAGGAGCTGTGGGGCCTTGTAGGTTGTGCGGCCTTCCCAGCTGCCATGCCTTATTTCTCCCTTTTAGAAAGCATGGCTGAATGGGAGTGGGTGAAGAAAGTCAGCCCTGCTGGAGACTTGCCTTCCCCTAAGTGTGAGTCTGCTGATGCACTTGACGCTTTCATTGTTGTTAGTACCGAGCCTTGCACACCATGACCTGCTAGGCTGCCAGTGAACCGTGTTAGAAACTGTCTCTCTGTGTAGTAACCCTGTTGAAGCAGTTCACTGCCCTCAGCCCTTGCCTGTGGGTTACATGGTACCAGTGGATTATCTGTGATTTAACATCTTGAGGCACAGTGTTGCCTGGGGCTAGCAGATTTCCAAACTCTGGTTTTGGTGATCTGTTGGAAGGTGGGTTGTAGGAAACCACCATCTTGGTGCTTGCCTGGGTCCCTGTGGGCTCTTGGACCCACTGCTGTCCATGACTCAGTCTTTTTTTTTTTTAAATATTTATTTATTTATTATGGATATAATATTCTGTTTGCATATATGCCTGCTAGAAGAGGACACCAGACCTCATTACAGATGGTTGTGAGCCACCATGTGGTTGCTGGGAATCGAACTCGGGTCCTTTGGAAGAGCACGCAATGCTCTTAACTGCTGAGCCATCTCTCCAGCCCCAACTCAGTCTTTTTTATTTTATTTTAATTCTTTCTATTTAAATAACATTTTTTCCTTTGCTTTACATGCCAATCAGTTTCCCCTCCCTCCTCACCTCCTGTCCCCTCCACTTTCCCATCTACCCCCTCCCCATCTGCTCCTCTTCCATCTCCATTCAGAATGGACAGACATCCCATGGGCTTGCACAAAGCAGGGCACATCAAGTTGAGGCAGGACCAAGCTCCTCCCCTTACATCAAGGCGGGGCCAGGTAATCCAGCACGGGGGGGGGGGGGAGGGGGAGAGGTTACTCACACCCAGCTAAGTGCCAGGGAGAGGTCCTGTTCTCACTTAACAGTGAGAAGCCTTACTAAGAGACCAAGCTACACAACTGCATGACTCATTCTGAATTCCACATTTTCTTCACGATGTTGACACAGTGTCTTTAAAAGGTAGCAAGAGGGCTGGGTTTATGGCTCCGTGTAGGACAGTTGGCTAGCATGCACAAAGATTTGGGTTCCACCTGACATCATAATAAAACAGAAACAGCAGCAAAGTAGGGTGTCCAGAAGCACCCCTGGAGTATCTGAGCTTGGAGGCGAATCCCCCACCCCCATGCTGCCTGGAACAGCTGAGCTTGGAGGGATTACATTCCTGGTATTCTGGTCCCAGGTCTGTGATCGCCACACAGATGTCCTTGTGACTTGCTGAACAATTTCTGCCTCCGGCAGGACGTGCTCTGTTCTGTTCTTGGCCTTGGAGGGAGGGAAGGAAGAGGGAGGCAGGGAGACTCCTTGCAGTCACCTTACCTGGAAGTGGGCTGGGCTCACTGTCTCTCCAGTTCGGTTTTGGCACTGGCTGGCGGATGACTTTAGCGGGCTGTGAGTTTGCCTGTGATGTCATTGTCACTCAAGCCTGTCAACTGGTTCACCAGATGGGGAGGTGGGCATGGGTCTTTCTACTTCACTCCAGAGCCTTGGGAACTCAAGCAATGAAGTCTGAAGCTGCTGAGGAGGGCTAAGATCAGGGCCTTGCTCTGGAGAGCCTGCTCAGCGACAGCTTCTCGAGCTGTGTTCTCACACATTCCATCTGGCGCATTTGCAGGTTTAATGAGCCCCAGCACTGTGGCTGGCTTCCTGCTTTTATGGGGCTTCCAGCTTGGTCAGCAAAGATGGAGATATGAAAAAGTCCTGTTATCCATAGTGGCAGAAGGGATGGAACAGTACCTTGTGGCCAGTGAGACAGATGATGACAGTGTCTGGGAGGCTTCCTGAACGCAGTAATAACAAGGCCAGGCCTAGAAGAATGACCTGGCACCAACTGAATGGATACAGAGAGGCAGGTGACCAGAAATGGCTGACACTGAAGCTAAGCTGACGGTAGGAAAGACTCCTGAGTCAGGTCAGGGAATCAGCTGTAGGCAGGATCAATTGGTGCAGGTGGGGGCGCAGTTACAGATCTTAGAGGCTAATGGTCCACAGTCTTCCTGTCTTCATCCCTCTCCAGGTCGTGTTTGATGGGGGAGACCAGCTGTCCACTGACAGCTGGCTCTTCACTGGATGTTTGTGTCCCATTTGTCACTGTCTGTCTGTCATCTAATCCCTCCATCTAGCCAATCACCTGTGGACCCAACCAGTACTGTCTGGTGGCTCCTGTGGATCAAGGACCATATTAAATACCAGGATACAGGAACTAGTCTTCTCTCTGAGGCCAACTGGACCACGTACTACAGAGCATCCTCAGAAGCTAGTGGAGAGGGGGTGACCCAGGGCTCCCTCCCACTGAGGCTTCTGCTGGCTGTGTGTGAGCTCTCAGATTTACCCTTTCACCTTGTCATTGTTGGGAGCCTGCTTCTAGCTTTCCATAGTCCCCTCTCTCCTTTGCTTCTTCTGTATTTTCTTCTCTTTTCTTTCCATCTGCG